TGTCAACGTTTTCATCCTGGATGACAATGACAACAGTCCCTCGATTCTCGCGCCCTATTCTGAGCACGGCTCCGTTAACACTGAGAGCATCCCCTATTCTGCTGAAGCGGGATACTTTGTGGCAAAGATCAGGGCTGTAGACGCTGACTCGGGATACAATGCGCTGCTTTCTTATCACCTCTCTGAGCCCAAAGGAAACAACCTCTTCCGGATCGGAACCAGCACCGGGGAAATCAGGACTAAGAGGAGGATGAGTGACAACGACCTGAAAACTCACCCCTTGGTGGTGCTGGTCTCTGATAACGGAGAACCCTCCCTGTCAGCTACTGTGTCTATTGATGTCACGGTGGTTGAAAGCTCAGCTGACATCCAGACTCAGTTCAGACATGTGCCCATAAAGGAGGACAGCTTCTCGGATCTAAACCTGTACCTGCTGATTGCCATCGTGTCGGTGTCAGTCATCTTCCTGCTGAGTCTCATCAGTTTAATAGCTGTCAAATGCCACAGGACAGACGGCAGTTTCAGCAGGTACAGCGCCCCCATGATCACCACCCACCCTGACGGGAGCTGGTCTTACTCTAAATCTACTCAGCAGTATGACGTCTGCTTCAGCTCAGACACGCTCAAGAGTGACGTAGTGGTTTTCCCCGCACCGTTTCCACCTGTAGACGCTGAGCTGATCAGTATTAACGGAGGAGACACGTTTACTAGGACTCAGACTTTACCCAGTAAAGATAAGGTAAGAACATAATGACACCGTTATTATACTGCACTTATACCGAGAGCTTAGTGTGCATTGATGCAGTTTTACTTCATGTAGCTTTCAAAGAGCTTGTCGTGCAGGCGAATGCAGTGTCCAATAAACAGACTTGAAGTGGAGTTAAAGTAGAAATATTTTTGCTCTTTTTCTTTTGGGTGGGGTTGGGTTGGGGGTGGGGGGCAGTATATACACCTATAGTAAATCTGTGCATGGTTGGCTTGGTCATTACTTGGCTTGATGTGTGTCGCTATCCATGGTGCTGAACTCAAATTTCTCATCTTATTTTTTTCTCTAGACCTTAGACAGAAAAATGTTTAACTTTAAGAAGAATACGGTTTGTACAGTCTGCTTGTTAAGTGGTGATATAACATTCTATTTCAGGCCTCCTGTACATATGCCAGAGTGATATTTCCCCTAGTCTTTCATTATATCTGAATAAAAAAAACACGGGTCAGCTGTCATTTACCCTTTACTTTTCTTACTATAGGAAAGCGAAAAAGAAACGGCTACACTTGATTTGATAAGTTAGTGTTCTAAAATTAGTGAATGAACATATAAAAGTGCTATATTTTGCTGATTTGTAATGTAGCTAGCTAATTACTACCAAGTTAACCTAAACATTATAGCCTATCCTGCCACATTTACACTGATGAAAGTAATGGTAAAGGCGAACTATTAAAAACAATTTAGGCATATAATGTGATATAAGTTATATGTATATTGACAAATTTACTACTACCTGTAATATAGTTATTATGCCACCGGGCGGAACAGTAACACTAATTACTTTATTTGAATCGAAAAAAATGTAGTTATTTTTAAAACTCTCAGTGATTTATTGTGTTGAGTGTGACAGGCTTCCCATTCGGGCCTCGGGGAGTTGGGACCCGAAAATGTAACGTTACGTGATACTGAACAAGCGGATTGTTAACATATACGCAAATCTGTCTTGAAGAAATGTTTGAAATATAGATTGATATGACTGTAAACAAGCCTAAATAATTTATCAGCAAGGAGGCTATGCAGAGCCAGTTTGTGCACTTGCACTGATTGTGTTTCTCCTCATAAATCGTTGTCACCATAACTGTTTGTATTTCAAGTATGTTATTTCTGGCCTGTGTGCGTGTGTGTACGTGAACAATCTTCCTGTAATGCAGTCTGGACAGTCTAAGTACTTTCAAATGTTACATCAGCAGCTGCTTCCTCGACGTTTGACTCAATTTCTACCAGAGATCATGGATTAAACGGTATGTTTAAAGTATGAGTATGACGATATGTGATTTAATTTTGACTCCTACTGTAGATATAAAATCCGTTACTTAAATGGTGAAGGAGATCCTAGGACTGTGAGCCTGCTGTAAATACTGAAGGCTTCATGTCGCACGTAGTTCCTACAAGTGTCCACACGAGGACATCGTGGACCATGACATTTGGACCATCTCTTTGTGGCTCAGGGCTCCTCCCAGTTTAACAGGATGATGATTTTTTTTCTTCTGGCGATTGAAACAAAGAGACGGAGGAAGTGAAAGAGAACGATGCAACGATCATATTCGTGTGATAATTTCAATTCGTTTAGAGTATTAACCTGTTAACTTTTAATTCCTCTGATTTGTAACATTACTGAACGTATCTGTATGATATAACTCGGTGAAAGGAATTATGCCTTTACCGACCAGACTCAGCTCTTTGTGGATATCGCTCTTGTTCGCGCTGCTGGATTGTTACTGGGAAACCGTGTCTGCACAGCTCTCTTACTCCGTCTCAGAGGAGGTAAACCTGGGGACTGTTGTTGGAAATATCGCTAAGGATTTGAACATTAATGTCCAGGAGTTGGAGTCTCGCATGTTTCAGATCGTTGCTGGATCAAAGAGGAAATATTTCGAGGTAAATCTGAAGACTGGTGTCCTCTATGTTAATGAGAGAATAGATCGAGAAGAACTCTGCGGCGACGAGCCCAAATGTTCCCTCAGTGTAGAAGCTGTTATTAACAATCCATTAAAGCTGTACCGTATTGAAATGATCATCTTAGATGTAAATGATAATTCTCCATCATTTCTCAGCACGTCACTGTTACTGAACATCAGTGAAAACACAGCAGCAGGGGCAAAATTTCCTATACATCCAGCTCACGACGCAGACGTCGGTAAAAACACGGTCAGTACCTACAAACTCAGTCAAAATGAACATTTCTCTCTAGACACACATAAAGCAGAGACTGTAACTCCTGAGCTGGTGCTTCACAAAGTATTAGACAGAGAAAAACAGTCTGTGATTCGACTCACACTGACTGCCATTGATGGAGGA